TGATGTCATAAAACAATCCGCACAACAATGATGGTAAAGATGATTTTTTAAAATTAGCATGTATCTTTACTTTTTGTCTTTATAATCTTTATAAGTCAACTTTTCCTGGATCTGCTAGATTTATAGCCTTCATTGGTATACGTTTTGATTTGTTAAACGACTAAACTGACTCATTATACTTTATTGATCATTCTACACTAAGTGTTTAGAAACTTTCAGGTTTTCAGTACAGTTATATTTGCTGTTTTTCCCACTTTTATTCTTGCTTATACAATGAATGACAGCTCTTTGGACTAGGGGTCATACTTCGGTTGTATTTCACTTTATTCTGTTATTTGCTCCACTGAGTCAGGCTCACATGAATAGACATCAATATCATTTATGCACATTTAACTCTTGTCATATCCAGGGCCAGATCTGGAATTCTTGTTTGATACTCCATTTGTCTGGATGATGTCCCACGTCTCATTTGGATAAGGTGTTGGGCCATGTTGCATAAATCAATGAATCACCTCTCCTGGATCTGTGGCTGTGTTTGGTGTGGAGATGTTATTCTTAGCTTGTTATCATGACAGATGCATTAGTGTTCTCAGGCTCCTGCAGCAATATCAGCTTATGTGTGTGTGATTGGTGTGGTGGGACTCAAGGGAGCAGTACACCGTTAAGACCTTTATCATCCAAGGAAAAAGTCTCTAATTATATGTTAGTATAAAAACGGCAGCATCTTCGCTTTTAGTGGAATAACAGTCAAAACACTGTGTATAAAAATGCATAAGACTTTTTATAAAAAACACTTAAATAATTTTGAAATCATTTGTGTTATTTATATAAATTAAATATAATGCAATATATTAAATATATATATATTTTGAAGTAAAGTCGGTCCCCAAAAGTTCACAACCTTTAGTAACCTTAACTTCAGTAACTCTATGTATTCCTCTCCATGAAGTGCTTTGCATCAGGTCTAGTATTTTCAATTTTCTATTTCCGTTTTCGTACTTTCTCACAGGTAAAAGGTCAGGTATTGAAAATATGTTTGGGGTGAGAAGGTTCAGGAACGTGATCTTAAAGTGCGCTTTTGCACAGTGGATGTGTGTGGAGATGCACGCATGTGTGTTTTAGGGAGAGAGGGAGAGAGAGAGAGAGAGCGCAAATCCAGATGGCCATTCTGGGCAAGGTTCGGTAATTAACCTTTTAACATCCCCAGCACAACCTCCAGAAGAATCCCTCGTCACTTTATTGGGCTTTGCGCAGTTCTGAATCAATCTGCCGTGAACATCTAATTAGAAATGAGAGCGAGGAGAAAGTGAGCGGGGGAGAGACCGTTTTACAACATTATTTTGTTTAATTTTGAGTCCAGGCAAAATGGACAATAAGAGAATGAGG